GCGGTTGACAGTCTCCAACTGACTTAAGACCTCCGCAATCTCCTTACATGTCGCTGCGTCCGAGCGCGTTTTGTTACTTCATCTCAGCGCACGCAACATCATCGCTTCCCATCGTTTACGTGAACGAATTGCAGTAACGGACGACTGCGCCGCGTCACCAATGTTAGACATCTCCGGACGCTCTCCGTACTTCTTTCTTGGTGCGGAGTGGGCTTCTTTCCACCGTGCTGCACACAAAGCCCGGCCGAAGGCTAGCATCTCACAGAAGGTCCCACATCTTCTTGCGCGACGAGACTCACAGATCGTATTATTACACCTTTCGCTTCAGCTTGTTGCTGACGTGGGGGCGTCGGTGTCTCGCGAGATCGACCTTTGCGAGGATTGCCATGACCGGGATACACAGGAACGTCATCGTCCAGAGCCTGCGCACAGGTACGTAGTTTAGTGATGACTTAGCTGATGTATGAGCTCTGGATACGTACCATATTCTCACGCTTGACTTAAAATGATGGAGTTTGAGAATAGGCTGCAATCTGACGCCCACACAGTCACAACTTTGATTTTACAAAAAAGATATCCTCCCGAAATATAACCCGAGATTATATTTTACAGCTCCAGCTGCGATGATACCATCCGTTGATCTGTTGAACTGTACCTTAGTTGATTCACAGAATATGCACAGAATGATACCGAAAATCGTTTTAATTTTTTTGTAAATGTTTGGTTGGTAAAGCGTGCTCCGATTTTGTGATTTGTCAATTGTTCCTCCAATTTCTGGGATTCGATAGAAATGGGTATATGAAGTACAATCTACGCTTATTCTGTAGCTAAAACACGTAAAATGATAATCATTTTCAGATATACATGTAAGTTAAATAACGATAGAGTTTAAAATGGATTACTGCTATTTTGTGTTTTCGAGGGAGGTGGACCATTGTGCCAGACTAAAATTAGTCCGGACAGGTTACAACATTTGGTACATGCCTATTTTAGGTTGCCGACGCCGAGAACACATACAAATCATATGTGTTCCTGATGAAGTCGAAGAATGATACGAACAATTTCAAAGCTTGGCTGCTAGTTACCGACATTTAATTAATTACAAGTTTTTTCACGGCCACATCGTAGTCGTAGGCTACACACATATACTTGCTGTCCTCAAAATTACATATTTGTAGGTTTATCATTTGAGCTATATCCAAAGTAATCCCTGGGACGGACTTGGAGGACCTGATTTTATCAGGCGACAGGATATCAGGTTTCTCAAGGTTCATTTTGGACAGATTTACTGATTATTCCACAGCGATTGCGATTCGAAATTTGACGTGATTGGTTAATCTGTCTCCAGTTGAGATCAGCAGGGTCTTTGACGAAAAATAAAGAATCCTGAGAATTTAAAAAGGGGAGTGTTAACTATACTGATTGTTTTCTTATGTGCATCAAAAGCGGGCGTTCTTTTTGATATCCCTGGAGTATAGCGATTAACCATGTTTGTACTCGCAAAGGAAATCTCTAAAAGCAACCCACATCCGCTTTTCGGTCTCTCCTTGTAGAATTGAAAAAAACATTAGCAGGTGTGAGGGTACACAAAGGTTTTGTCAAAATGTGTGTGATGCACCAAGTCCGTGGTGGTGACACAGCATTTGATACCCACACACATACTATCCAGCCTTTGGGCTAAAGAGAGGTCCATCGACCGTACAGGTATGTCCAAAACCCGTCATTGAGGCCGGAGCTGCTGAACGGAGTCTCGCATCGTCGCGATTTAGCACCCAATGAGGAACGCTTTACAACATGGCACCGACGTATAGTCAGAGCACTAAGGTTGGATTCAGGAACAGCCACGCAACGCGTCAAGCGTTTTATTTTTTACTTCAAGCTGTCGTAAACCTCCACCTTATTGGCTTGGTTGGTCTGCGGCCAGGGAGTATGGTCTCGTTCAGTGGCATGAACGGTTGGCATAAACCCTTAAAGTGTAAGTTTCTTTGTTGACTTCGCTTCCACCTGTGTAGAAGGTAGGACATATAAGGCTGAGAACTAATGAACGAAAAGCCTAGCACCGTCTCGCGCTCACATGTATGACACCATTTCCTTCTTACTTGAAGGGGGAGTCCTTCCGCATGACATCCGTCCTCGTAAGATAGCAGGGAGCCCTGGGAAGAGGACTTGATCGCGCGAGGCACCGCATCTCCGACTTATAGAAGCCAACACAGGGGATTTAGTACCACGTCGAACATGCCTCAGTGTTCCAAGACCACTTTAAAGGACGACTTATTTGGTGCCATCCGTGTAGTGTAAGTGTGTCAGTGGGTGCCGTGGGTACCAGCCGGCCGGGACCGCACGATCAGGAGCTTCAGCGGAACCTCGGGACGTCCCGGTCAGCGTCACGACCCCTGGAACGACCCTATAGTTCCCGGGTACGGGACATCCTCCCCGATTTGGCGTTTGCTGTTCTCGGCGAACGGGGTTACTCCGTTGCCTCGGTGGGTTAATCACCGCAGATCAAGCATTCGTAACCTCAAAAGGTAGGTTGGACGGGAACGATTCGGGGTAGTCCTCAGTACAGTCGCCTAGTACATCGGGCTCAGCTGCCTAAAAGTCAGGTAGCACTTCGATGCCATCGTCGATTCGTAGGCATTCAAAGCTCGGCGCTTCAGCCCCACTGTGTTTAGAAGCGTTCCGGTTAGCGCTAGTAATAGCTCGGTCGACCAATACTTTAGGAGAGATGGTCTGTAGCGGACCATATTGAAGGTAGGCGTGCTAATTCACCCCAGTAGTCACCACGATAAGTGTGTCGACGAAACTCCAGCCTGTCCATTCGAGACAGTAGTTGGTAGTCAGTAGAAGTAGCAGCGCAATACCGACACCCACAGGCCCCAACATTACGAACTCCACCAAATCAAACATATTACTCGGTACGTACAGCAGCAGTGAGAGACACAGCAGTACTAGCCAGCAAATACCTTCAATAACAGCGTAGCAACGCCTCCAGGTAGATTGAAAGCGTCCTAGAAAGCGTACTAGTAGCGTACGATCGAGCCCTTAGTGCGAAGGAGCACATCAGGGATGTAATCGGAGAAATTCACCTTAGAGGCGATCCACCAACTCCTCAGTATTCGCCCATATCGACCGTACTTGTCATCACCTTAGAGTAGAACAATAGAAGGCATGGCGGAGAGCGCACCCCACACTCCATAAGTGTACGTAGCACCACGTAGTTGGCGTAGTTCACCTGCCTGCAGCACATCTCGGTATAGCGAAGCACAATCACCGCAAATATTGCCATTCATCTTCACAACGCGTCACACTTGGACCAATAACCCCCCCCCCCCGACAACGTTTTGTAGAGGCGTCGTTAAGACCCATACAGCTATAACTCCTACAAACACCGGCCACAGCACTCACCGAGTGTACTCGAAGAGGATGCTTACTTGGGCTCCCATTGTCGAACCGAAATACTTGACGAAAAAGAAGAAAACACATTTTCAGGTCGTTCTTTCTTCAGTGTCAGTCGGTTTCCAACGGTTCTAGTCGTTAAACAACCGTCAATGACTGGGAAAGAAGGCCATCGGGCCTTCGCCACTTGCGAGAGTCCACCTTGCACCCATCGTGACGTTTTCACAGAAAGCCCAGAGAGACGGAACGGTAAGTCCAGGTCCCGACGGCAAGCCTTTTAGTAGAACTATCTATCTTATTGGATCAAGTGACAACGTTTATCAGCACAGCGTAGTTCTTACGGCCAACTTCTGTTGTACATGTACAACGATTTGGCAGTTCAGTCAGTTACCTCACACTCAGATATTTTTTTAATTTTCTACAACAAAACAGTTGTAGTTATGCCTTTAGTCATTGTAAATTGCAGAAACTATTGAGTTCAGAGCATTACGTGTATTAATATTGTGTCCTCGAAGACACGCATTCCTACGTGTACGTTAAGCGTCTTGCAGCATTGGAAGCGTCTTTAGGGGTTATTTCATTGAAAATAAGTAAGATTAAACAAAAAGAACTCTTATGTGCTACTGCTGCGAGCCATTGTTTTGTAAGAGTTGTTTAGGTAGCAACATCCGATACTGCTTAATGGGTGGACGTGTCCCCGACAAGGGTGTAGAAAACTATTTTAAAGGGAACGGTAAGACAGCACCAAAACACGAGAGGTGTTAATTCTAGCTGGTTATGTAGACCCCATAAAGAAACGAATATAAACTTGGAGCCTAATAGACGTTTAACAATATTTGAATCATCAAATTAAAAATACTACCGTCAACAACAACAGCAAGGCGTCTTGCGACACATTATTCAAATGTTTCAATCGTAACTGGCACAGAATCGAGTGTCTCATGATTAATTCTGAATCAGCTCAAAATGAACACTACCTCCATTAAAATGTATATGTTTAGCTTTCATTGATAGTATACGAAGTGATCAATCTTTAGTAATTTTACAAGCTCAAATAGGCGGTACAAGCGGGTACGTAGTGCAATCTGGACAGACCACTACTATATTTTGCGTTGATGCGAGCTAAGTTTCATAGCGGCTCAGAAATGGCCCGTGATATCGAGCACGACGCTAAACTAAACATATTGTTTAGCATTTATTAAATGCTTTTTGAAGTGCAGGTGGTTTTGGGTGGAAGATGAACATACAGTGATAGCCAACAATAATAAAGAGATTGTATCAATCTAGATCATTTAAATAATTATTTTTATCAAACGGACCCAAATTAATGAAATTGAAAAAACGATTTAGGCCCATTCTCAACCGGCCGCACCGCACCGCATCGCACAATTTTGCTTCGTGCGGTCGCGTCGGTAGAACGGTATGCAGCGCATAAAATACATCTTAAGCAGCTGGTATATAACAGATCTTGTCATTTGTGGAAAATATCTCTTGAAGAGGCGACCTCAAAGCTCGTGGACTGGAGGCATCTTGGGGTACGTCAGGACAAAGAAGAGGGTTGTACGGTCTAACAGACCAAATAACACCGGATGCAAAACAATAACATGCAGACACCAGGAGGTGATGCAACGCGAGGTGCACTAACGCCCCATATCCCACCGGGCAAATTTCATGAATTTGGGTCCTGTACCAACAATGCCTGCCCTAGCACCGAACTATCCCCAAATACAAGGTGTCTACACAGTGCATCAGCAACAATAAAGCTCTATCCGGTCAGAAAACGTAGTAGATAGATTGCTAGAAGGGGTGAATAGCTCAGATGACAGCGAAATAGTGGATTTGCGATCTGCTCTGGTGGATTATGAGAGCTGGTCAGCGGATGCGATTAGGAAGGAGTGTACCAAGAGGGGCCTCTAGCTAAGGGCTGGTTTGCGGAAGGGTGAGCGTATTTCAATACTTTTGCGTCATGACGCTGCGAAGCGGCATACAACGGCCTTCTATTAGGGGATGGTAGGCAGCCAACAGGCAAGAATGCAGTGTCAGCCCGTACAAAGCATTGTATGTACAGGCTGATTAATATTCTTTTTTCGGATGAGTTCGCCACGCGATTCAGTCAATCAGGATTGCTATACTAAATAAAATGCGATGTTTGTCTGACGAGCAATATCTAATGGAGCTATGGCTGCACTTTATGTTTTGTTTTTCGTTCTAGGTAGCATTGCACCGAGAGCGGACGTAGATAACAGGACGCTGCGTGAAAAGAGCGGCTTCTGGAAGGATGTGCAAGCCGCATTCGTACAGAGGTACCCTCTGGATCATGAGCTAGAGCAACTGATGTTCGACCATGAATTATTTAGAGGAGTAGATCCATCGGTGGTCAAGCCACACTCGTCTAAGAAGTTGTTCGACATGTCGAAAGAGGTTATTCGACTCTACTTCTCCGCGGAGGAACGGTTTACAGCTTCGGGCAAGAATGAAAACGACTTTGCAAACTTTGTAAACAAGAACGGAGCTGTCTTCTACCTACCCAAATGGCTGAATGTACGTCAAAAATTTCATTTCATTAAGCAAACGTTTTTACGTTCTTATATACATGCATGCTGTTTGATTCTTCTTTTCAGATTAAACGCGACCTGATAAATTCTGCTCGGGGGGGACTATTTGTTGAAGATGATTTTGACACGTTGAAGGCGTCTTCGCAGTTCCACAACTCTGAAACGAAAAAAGTAATTTCTAACAGCGGAAAGCAAACGATTCCTCGGAGCTGGATTTTCGAGCGTATGTCGATGATCGACGTATTGAAGGGGGGTATGCTCGGTCTTCGACTAGTGTTAAGGTGCAACAGAGCACAAATACTTTCCCTGCTTGGTGATATTCGCAGACAGTTGGGAGATATTGACAAAGAACTCGTGAATAGTGGCGATGAATGCTAGCGTCTACAGGAAGTTCGCGAACTACTCCTATTAGAGCGGCAAAAATGGATTGAGACGCTCCGAAGTGTGGAGTTGTAGCAAGAGCGTTCATGTCACGATTCGCATTCAAAACATAACGATTTTTTTATAGTGCTGCATTCAATGTTAAAAGAGGGTGATGTAGTTCTTTGGTTGAATTATGTTTTTCTTTTTAGTGCGGCGTTCAATATTGAGCCGCGGGCGATGTAGTTCTTTAGTTGCTATGTACTGGACAGCGATGTCGCGCGTCACATCATTAATTGCACAATCTCGCCATCTTCCGTCTCGTACTCAGTATGAGTGTAAGATAAGTCGCGGCATTGGTTCCAAGTGCACCCTTCTCGTCAGATTGATTTTAATGATCTGGTCGAATGACACGGGTTCTCCAATTCATTCTGCTCGATACAAAAATTATGCAAACGCTTACATCCATGTATGGCGTGAGGTGCACTCCTTAGCGACATACATAATGGTCTCTTAAGAAGCCTCCACCTATTGACGAGTAGGCCAAATGCCATCTCTATTCGAATGCGACACTGGCTCAAAAAAAGTTGTAGATGTCGCGATCGGGACTACCTTGAAGCTGAACTACGTTAAAGGGTGTCAGCACCGTTCGGCTCTAAGGGTACGCGTTGTCAGAAACGACAACGTAGGGTCCCTTCATATTTGATAATAATTTGCTAAGTGATCACTGCAAGAAAGCCACAGAGTCATTCCGACCACCGGGAGCGCGGCAAGCCATCGCGGTAAACCGACATGTGTGGTCGACACACGACTGCACATTTGAACCATATCTTTGGTAGTGTCCAAAGAAGAAGGCAATCACGCGTCCACATTCAGAGCTGCGAGGCATCGTATGGGGCATAGCCACCCATCTATAGCTCCAATACAACCCGGCATTGCACCACCCGTGCTAGTAGATCTGAAACCTGCTGCACTTGACTCCAATTCATCGTTACTACATGAATTTTCATTGCTAGCTGGTTTTAATTATTGGTATTTCGTAGAGCGGCATGCACTACACGATAAAACCCGGCCCGACTTGTACCCGTAATTACACGTATTTAGTGATAGCTACCACCAGACAGCCAACTGATACACGCTTGCAGCATTCCAGAAGGAGAAATAGGAGGCTCACCTAGAGCACGCCGCGAAAATTGAAGAGAATCTATGAAAAGTCCTGAGCCGACCAAAGAAAGAAGTCTTTCGAAACCCGCGTAGCTCATGCGGTAATACCGCTTGAACTCTTAGCAAACGTTCAGCATGAGCAAACCAGTTGATGAGATGTCGAACTACATTCATTTCGATGCCACCAGAACGCTCCTCGTCGGCGACAGTGGCAGCAAGCGCAGGCAGAGCAACAGCACAGAACTCTCCCCTCTCGTTGGACGGAAACATGGCTAAAGTTGGGATTTAGAAAGTGCAGGCATGTTGAAGCGGAGTGATTTGATTGGCTCCGTCCTCATACAGTGCCTAACCGCTTGATGCAGCGATATCACCGCATGCGATGAAAAGCTCGCACAACAGCCTATTTTTCCAACGCTGCATGCGATTACCTAGCCCTTCATTGGTTCTTACCCAATGCTAATTCTCTATTTAGTCGCATGCGACCGCATGAGTCGGTTGAGAATGAACCTTAGCCACATGCGTTTTTTTTAGTAATTATCCCGCCGAAGCGTAGCGGAGGCGATAAAGGCCAAAACTAAAGCTAAACTACCGCCGCTGCGGCGCTCGGCTAGTACGATTACCAAGCTTAGCTTAGGGAACGTTAGAGGAAGTTGAGGCATACTCGTTGCTTCTGATATGTTAGATAATGGTCTTTGTTATTTTTAACAAAGAGTATCCCATAACTGAGGTTTTACGGTAGCACGATCCCACAAAATCGCTTAATGATTTCCCTATGCGACTTTAGGGTAATTTTTGCATAGGGATGTCATAGTTAGATTTTTTAACAGATGACTCCTATTTCGACTTCATGTCCGGAATAAAAATGCAATGGAGTGAGGTGGAATTCCGAACTCCATTGCATTTTTATTCCGGACATGAAGTCGAAATTATTACTAGAGGGTGGGGCTGGTAGTGCTTAACAAGGTGGTCAAAAAATCGAAAGTGGGAAAAACTGAACATATAGTAATTATGCATCGAAATACTTGTGACACGGCAGAGGAAAAGGGGGGGGGTCGCTGCGCAGCCTGGAAAGCTAAACTCTTCGCACCAACTCCCTTTTCATCAGCTGGGGGCTCTTAAGGAAAACTTACAAATTCGTAGTCATTTTCAATCAGCCAATACGGATTCGTTGTCCTGAGTGTTTTTTTTTTCTTTTCTTAATTTTGTTTACTAACTGCTCTTACTGCTTTACATGTAGCACGTTTTAACACCTTACTTTTAAAACAAGACACGATTGCTTATTAATATGCAGTTTTTAATTAAATAATTCCCTTGTAAATCTATTCAGAGAGGTATTAATATTTTAGACGTGATCACATTCAATCCGACGAGAAGTTTCTCTCAAAATTTCTCACAGATGCAGATTCTCAATTGGCTCACGTGCTACGGCGGCCCCGCCCAACGTTGGGCCATACTCCGTCGCCGCAGTGGTGAGCGAACTGTTGCGGTTGTTACTTATCTACTTTTTAACTTTTCTTCAATCTACCCATCTAATCGATTACTGATCCGTGTGCGTGGTCACAGCGCTCTTGCTGATACCGAAGGTCTGTCGTTGTGCAAATGTGCCCGTCTTGGAGTCGATGCGTCACCGATTCAGTATTTACAAACATATCCGGGATGTAAGTTTTGATAATGTTAATTTGAGCAATGAAATACAATCTAACAGCGATTGCATGATATGCTATAATACTGTCGAGTGCAGCGCTGGACTTGCCCAAGTTAATCTTCTAGACAACATATCTAAGCCATGGATTTTCGATCCCCATCGTGTACGCAACTTTTCTGTACAGCTGACTTGTGGCTTGCTATCGCTCAACGCTACGTGGTTGCCCCCAATATCGCTGGACTCTACTACATGTTCGCGGCTCCTATTATCGAACTGACGCCAATATCAAAACTCACTAGCATTGGTGTTTGTATTGCACGTGCTTCTGCAAATATGACTTGTTTTTCGCCGTGCAGTTCTCGTTTGGCGACTCGCTTAACGTCACGTCTGGCTATGCATCAACTAGCACTTCAACCACATTGTAACGGGGTACGTAGCCCTAAGTGTACCCTTTGTTTCATGAAGTGTGACACGTCATATTCCCGGATATTTGGTACAAGGTACCAAGGTCGTCCAAAGCCAACCATTGGTTAAATGACATTGCATTTCTATAGGTAACTTATAGTTTGTATTAAACCCAAACTTAACCTACCTATAAATATATTCAGTTTACATTCTACCTTATTTAGGTCACTTCGCTCTCTTTAATTAAAGAGGGGACCTGTGAACTGCCGTTCACTGAGAGTTTCTATACTCTCGGAAGATAACTTCCTCTAGCGCAAGGTGCTGTGTGACCCCGTCACGCTTGGTAGCACTCGTAGTCAATCCACGCCACCGCGGGTAGACTACCTGAACCTCTCCGAAGTTCGTTGCCATGGATAGGAACGACTTCTCCCATTTGAACGACTCTCAGTTCGAGTCGGTTCGGAAGATGGCAGGCATGAGGCCCTGCAGAGCCTGGTGGTGTCAACACCGGCTGAGCAGCTCGAGCGCGTCAATGCATTTGACGCGTACGAGCAGGGCCTCATCGCGCATGTGCGGGAGAACCTGCAGGCTCCGGCGGCGGAAGCAAATCCGCCTCACCCGAAGCCAATACGACTGAAGGTTAAGCCGTATGAAGGGAAGGAAGGCGAGAACCTTCACTTCTGGGTCCGAGAAGTAGAGCTCGCGATGGACGCGGCTCTGATCTCGACCGAGCAACTTCGTGTTGCTTTTGCACTCTCCAACCTTAGCGGCCGTGCTAAGAGTTGGGTGTACACACGGGAGGCAACTTCCACTGGATGTTTCACATCCTGGGCTCAGCTGTGTGAACAGCTCCGAGCCACGTTTCTCCTGGCGAGCTACGAGTGCCGCCAGCGTTCACGCTTCCTCTCGTGCAAACAAGGGAGGCGTGAACTGCACGAGTACGTGCAGGGGATCCGGGAGCTCACGGCGTCCCTAGTAGGAAACCCACTCAACGAACACATCAAGATGACTGTGTTCATGGACGGCCTTCGAGTGGGCCCCGCACGCACTCAGCTGTTCCGGATGCAGTCAAGCACCCTTGAATAGGCGATTCAAGTGGCTCTTCAAGAAGCGTACAGCCATCGCCAGGTGCGTACGCCGGCCTCAGCGTGGCCTGGGTGCTCCTTGTCGACTCCCGGTCGAACGAGCCCCAACGGACCAGTTCCCACGGAACTCGGGTCCGCCGAACAGCGTGACATCCGCTGCTTCGGCTGCGAGAAGATGGGCCACTTCAAGCGTAACTGTCCCGCGGAAAGACTCCGCAGACGGTCTTTCCCCAAGCCCGTCCTCAAGGGTCACTGGCAGAAGCCAGGATCCCGCGGACAGGGGAACGCCGGGAACCAGTAGAGGCGGGGCGCCCTACTGGGGCAGAACTAAGTCTTCGTGATGGGTGCGCGGGAGGCGCGTACCATGGGGATATAGCCCCTGAGAGTCTTCGCACTCTCGAATCGGCGAAGAGCAGCAGCGGGTTGCTCGTAGTACACGGATGTGTACGGGGATACGATCATCCCTTTAGAATCTTGATCGATTCTGGGGCGTCGAAGAATTTCGCACGCAGCCAGACAGCTGCTCGTAATAGCAACAAGTTGTCCGATGCTTTGAGAGAAAGCAAGGGCAACGGGAAGGTGTCAGTGCGACTGGCCGACGGGGAGGTCGTCACTGTCCCTAACGTCCAAGTGAATCTGGCCGTCAAGTGTGAAGACTTTGACAGCCTCGAACAGCTCACTGTTCTCGATATGGATCCAAATGATATGATCCTGGGCATGCCCTGGCTTGAGAAGCACGAGCCCTGGATCGACTGGCGAGGCAAGGCAATCGGTGCCAGCCGCCCTACGCAGTCCGA